GGAATAAGGCCAAGAAGAGAGAGCCATTGGAGTTATGCAGGAAGAGCAACAAAAGTTGTTGTTCTGGTGTGCCTCGTTGGGCGAAGCCTGGGCGAGGAGCCTTCGCATCAGCCTCGTCGGGCGACAAAGGGGCAAGAGAAAGAGATCAATTTTCCAGTAGTCATTGCCTTGAGCTTGCTGGCAGCTCACTGGGCAAGAAATAAGGATGTCGTCGGGAAAAGCTTCCCTTCGTGTAGCGAGGGGTAGATATTTTTTGCCATTTGCATACGTGGCGCAACCCGGACCTTGTATTTAGGAATTGTCGCTGGGCAACGCCTTTATGTCGTCAGGAGACGCGTGCGGGACAAAAATTCTTTATATTTCATTTTTCATTTCATTTTGTTTGGTTATGGTTTTGGGGATAGTTTTTGCTCCCAACTCCATCAACCCTTATTTTTCTCTAAGTTTAGCTTAGAAAACAACATTGAAGCTTGCATACAGATGATCCGGGATAAATTGCTCTTCGATCAGCGCTGACAAACTAGGAGATTTGTGGTTCATTTCTCTTGTTCTTTGTGTATTCTTTGTATGTTGAGTTTGTATATGTATTTACTTTGATCTTATGTATATTTGTCTCTCATGACGTTATATTTAATTTGCTTTATAAATCTTTGTTGATTGTTATCCTTGATTTTTGCTTTGTGCTAGGGATTTGGATTGTTATATACATATACTGCTTGAACTCGTATCTAGGATGATTGTCTAATAGTGTCTAGATTCTAGAGATAGATTTATTGCTATTATTCACTTGAGTTTCTGTGATTAATGCCTCTGTGTTGGTTGTGTTGACTGAGAGATCGTCAGCGCGAGTGGCACAGTTGACTTCTGTGTTGTTGAGGTTGGTTGAGAGATCGTCGTCGAGGTGATACAATGGGTGTTGTGTTTGACACATGATGACATAGATGGGTCTTGTAAGTTGAGTATAACTGGTCGATATGTTTAAGTCTGTGAGAAGTAGTATATATGCATGTTTGATAAGTTATTCCTTAGAAGAATGAATTTATTTTCTTGTCAATAATTTTTACCCTTTCTTTACAAACAATCTATTTTATCCTCCAAACTCAGTAACGAATGATTTTTCGAATGGTGAATCGATAACCAATCTCTGTGGACACAATACAATATAACCTAAATATCGCTCGGTAAATTAATAACTTGCTTTTTGCTTGCCGCTATATCGTTGCAATAGTGGGAGAATTTAACATTGCCTTTCTTAAAATTGTAACTTGAATATTTCCCCAAGTCAATAGCCTACTTCATCATCACGTTCAAACCTTTTGTTATGATTAAGAATAGTAACAAAGAAAGAGGGTCTCTTTATCTTAGTCCTAACTCCCTCTTAAACTCCTTAATTAGGCTTCCATTTACAAGGATTGGTATCGACGATGATCTTACACATTCCGCGATCCATTTGCACCATTTCTCTTGAAACCTCATTTTTTTCATCACATAAACTAAAAAGATCAAATCTACTGGATCGTATATCTTTTCAAAATCCACTTTAAATAGAGTTAATTCGTTCTTCCTCCTTCTAGCTTCATCCACAATTTCATTTGCAACTAAAATTCCATCTAAAATTTGTATTCATGATATAAATGTTGGATGTGCCTCTGAGATAATGTTACTGATAACTTTTTTAATCTATTGGCCAGAACCTTAAAAATAACTTTTTAGATGCATCCAACCAAAGAAATTGGCATGTACTCTGATATCTTTGATGGGTTCCTTTTCTTTGAGATGAGTGTCGAGAACAAACTATTTGCCATTTTCGCATATGACCATGTGAATGAAATTCTGATAACACCCTCATAAAGTCGCATTTAATAGAGTCCCAAAATTATTTTATAAACCAGAAATTTACACCGTATAGACTTGGACTTTTTGAACTTTCGCACTCCGAAATTGTAATGCGGACTTCGTCTTCTAAAAACTCTCTCATCAAAATTTATTTTCTTGTTTTGTCCACTTGTTTGAACTCCAAGTTAGTTGGAATATGTCACACCCCCTCTAACTTCAAACAACCTCTAGAAATGATCATGAATTTTTGTTTTTATCCCGTCTTTTTCTTTCGTTACTCTTCCATTAATTTCAAGATACAATATTTCATTATATTTCCTTCTTTTATTGATGCAACCATGAAAATATTTAGAATTTGTGTCTCCGCGATCTTTACTACAATTAAGACTTGATAATCTAAGATCAACTCATAATTCTCTTTTTCGATTCACCTCCACTAATGATAAACTCTCAGATTCACCTTTTAAATCAAGCTTGTGAGTTCTTCTTTTGTAGCTTTGATTTTTACATCCAAATTTTTCTTATGAGATTTGTGTCACTCTTTTAGTTTTACTTTAATCATTTTCAATTTCTCCTTCAAGACATACATTCCCCAACCTTCATATTCAGAGTATTTCATTCATCCCTAACAAAATTATGATATCCTTTAATATTCTTCCAACAATTTAATTTTCGAAATGGTTTCGGACCCCACTTTTGCACATAATCAAACAACATAATAGAGAAATGATATGAAAGTTCCTTGTACAAAGCTCATTATGTACCTTTAGGCCAAAATTTGCTCCACTCTTTTGAGATTAGAAATCTGTCTATATAACTCACGGCGGTTTCCCCAAGTCTAGACCAAGTGAACTTCCTACCGCAAAGGGACAGATCAATCAAGTATGCTTCTGTAATTAAGTAGTCAAAATCTTTTGTCTCTTCTCTTCTTATATTTTCACTTGATACTCTTCTTTCCACTTCATCCCTTACGACGTTAAAATCTCCCAACATACATATACTCTTGCCACTCTTCTAGATAATTTTTCCAGATAGCTTCGCTCACAACTCTCATTTTCTTCTTCCATCGCAAGGTGCATATACATTCAAAATATTTATTCTTCTCTTGTCCACTCCCTGATCCCCTCTCACCCATAAGACGATTAAAAACATGAATTCTTTGAACTGCGAAATATTTTTTATCCAAAACAGTCAGAATTCCCCCTGACCTCCCTTCAAATGCTTTGCTAAAAAATTCGAATTCGTTGAAACCCCACATCAAGCAACATAGGTTTCTATCAATGTTCTACATCTTTGTTTCTTGAATACATAAAAATGTTGTACTATGAGTTCTAATTAGATTTTGAATTTCTTTTTTCTTAGCTACCACAACTAATCCTCTGACATTGTAGCTAATAATCTTCATAATTACACTTTAATCTCCCAATTCTAAGTTAAACCATATACTCTTAAGGGTTTCGTTCTCCACCTTTCACTCCCACCACCAATTCTTGCACAATTTCTCATTTCTCTCCTTTGTGTATCAAATCAATCTCTTTTCCTATATCTCATACATGTTTGGCCATCTCTGTTGCTTCCCCGTGTTAAAGAACCCAGCCATCTCTGTTGCTTCCCCGTGTTAAAGAACCCAGCTATTTATTTCTAATCCTTTATCCAGAAAATTCAGATTGGAGGTGAAAAATACTTGATTTTGTGAATTTTTCCTGTAGCTACAGCTATACTTAGGTTTCGCTTTTTTTCTTCTTTCTTCTTTCTTTCTTATTAGCTCTTAGGAACTATGTTCTTCTTCTTCTTTTTCTTTCTTTAAAAAATTTTGCCTCCTTCTAATGTTGCTCTTGATCTTCCTTCAACCTCATGTGTAGGTCATGTTGATGATATTTCTGTCTACATTTGTGATTCGAGTTCTATTTTTAAAATTTCTAATTTTACTCTTGATCTTCCTTCTAGGTCATGTTGATGATATTTCTCGGTCTACATTTGTGATTTGAGTTCTATTTTTTATAACCCGATTTTGATACAATTATTTTTCTATTATTAAAAAACGTTAATATCATATAATAATATTTTAAATATCATTTGATATTAATTTATTTATTATTATATTTTAAATAACAAATTAAATAACACTCACAATGCCATCATTAAATTATAAAAAGATGATAACTTAATATTATGAACCCTGTTTTTATAATGATTTGACTATGTAATAATAAAAAATATTTAAAACAAATATTTAACTTAATATTATGAACCCTGTTTTTATAATGATTTGACTCTGTAATAATAAAAAATATTTAAAACAAATATCCGACCCAATCCATCTGCATAAAAAGAGAATGGATTGGTTTCAATCGGACAGTTAAAAGTTGTCCATCCCTACTTCCCTTGCCTTTAACCTATCTCTCTCCTCTCATTGATCTATGACTTTAATCCTATTAAATTTTCTCAAAGGGTTTAATTTTATAAAATAGAAGTCATATATCAATGTGGCATTATAAATGCCTACATGCGCTTGATACACAAGTGATCAATTATCAACTAGTTATTCTGTTCTCATTGGAATATCAATTGAGATAGTTACGCAGATATAACTAGTAGATATGAACTGTTCAAAAGTTTGTTACAACATTTGAAAATCGAAATCAACTAGCAACTTTTTATCAAACCTTTTTGGCTTATAAAAAACCAGTAGATATGAACTTTCCCACCCCACAAGTACAACAAAAGTTTTTCCCTGTTCTGATATGTATTTGAAAAGCATGTGTTAATAATAAATGTGAAAAATAGGTGAAGTTGCTCTCCAACTAGTATGCGAAGTATCAACTATTATGTTACATTTTTTTCAATTCTGCTTCACCAATCATTAAACAAAATTATTACTGGTAAAACTCTTAAGAACAGAAGCCACAGAAATATTCAACTGATAATGAAACTAAAAAAATAAACATGAAGGCACACAAAAAGTGATTGCAAGAGTTCCAATTGTAGCTAAAAGTATTAGCTCATTTAAGCAATCATACAAACCCAAGTAACACTCAAGAGGATAATATTCCTAACAACCATTCCTCTATTACAACATTCACTTGAGAGGAAAAGCATCCTTCTTCAAGAACGACCAGACTGACAGGAAATGATCAGATACACCCAAAAATTCAAATGTCTCCTTATGCCTAAAAAAACATAAAAAGATGGGTTAGTCACCAATATACAACTAACACATGCCGTGTTCTAAACTTTAGCTTAGAGTTTCTCTATCTAAAAGCATTAAAAGACAAACTTTTGAAGTAATACCAGGATAAATACAAGTTCAGTTTTCCATAAACTATTTCTCCTTTTAACCTTTGCATGCTTAAACTAAGGATCATCTGTTGGGAGAGAGTTTTGGAGGGCTAGATCTGTATTCTAATATATATTTAGGATTTTTAAAAATTGGAAGAATATCATAATATGCGATCATATAACAATTTAATCACACTTCATTCATTTTTAGAAACATATTATAGCTTACAAAATTCAGGATAGAAAAAATAAGTCTCTCCACAAATCCCCCTCCCAAACTGACTCTAAAATTTGTTCCATAACCAAATGATGGACAATGGTCGATACAGGTTATAAAGTAGACAGTGATACAAATCATGCAACTGGTGTCACCCACACAATAACATTTTAATTATAATTAGAGCTACATGCCCACTATAGCATTAAGTTACCTTGCTTGCAATGTTGTTAGAAAGCCAGTCCAAACCCTCGTATAGACCCTCTCCAGAAGTTGCACAGGTGCTCTGAATATACCTGAAATAAATCAAGTCATTACATTAAAATGGGCCATTAGTTAATGTGGTTACAGAACTCACAAAAGCTCAATCCACATGGCACATATATGCAACAGAAATATAAATTATCAATTTGGGCAACTAGTTGAGCTAAGTCAAGTATAAATGCAAAAGATCTGATCTTCATACCAGTGGCGTTGGCGGAGTGAATGAAGACCAAGCTTGTCTGTTATTTCTGCAGCATTCATTGCATTGGGAAGATCTTGTTTGTTGGCGAAAACAAGCAAAACAGCATCTCTAAGTTCGTCCTGAAACAAAATTGACGTACAGGTTCAGGTACCAACATTATATATATCCACTTGTAATAAAGATTGTCACTTAGTTTTAACAGCCTTTACTTATGTATAATGGGTAAACAAAAGAAATAAGAAAAACTTTAGATAACAAACGTTCACAAAGGAAAGGGTGAAGCCAAGCAAATCAAATAGTAGGATACTAGGAATAAACAAACACGAGGACAAATCATTAAAAACACACAATAAACCTATAATAAACAAAGCAGTCCATTAAGACTGCAGAGTTTCTATCAAGGTCTCAAATGATAATTAAGAAATCCCCAAACTGGGAGAGCTTCTAAAATAATGAATGTGTCCCCAGAAAAAGTATTACCAAGCATACACATGATTAGCTTAGCAAGAAGAAAACCCCCCAAAAACAAAATTAAGATTTCTAGAGGACTTGTACCGTAAGCAAAAGTGAACTACATAGGATATGATATACGAAAAACATACAAGATAACAAAGGATGCATCGCTATAAAAATCATTTACCTCATTCAACATCCTGTGCAACTCATCCCTTGCCTCAACCACTCGGTCTCTATCATTGCTATCAACCACAAAAATAAGACCCTGAGTGTTCTGGAAGTAGTGCCTCCACAATGGGCGGATCTGCAGATAGAAACTAAAGTCAATCGAAAAATAGCATAATCCTTCATTATATTAACAAAGAATAAAAAAATACCCCAAAACATCCAAATAGAATACACAGCATAGGTCAGTAAGCAAAAATATAAAGCCATAAAACATAAGCCAAGCTGAAAATATCTGTATTCAAATTTCAAACATCAGTGAAAATAAGAAAGGTTCACAAAGTGGTGCCGAAAATGAAATGACATGGCAACAGATACATCAATTTGATCAACTAATGTGCATTAGGAAAAAAACCATTCATAAAACTAGAGCAAAAATATGACCCTGAGTGTCACTTCTCCTCTCCTCTCTCCTCCTTTTTACCTTCTTCTTTTATTCTTCACTGTCACTTAATAATAGGGAAACAGTCACATAACACACCACATGCATGTGCAACGTCCCACATAATAAAGCTTGAATAGAGTCATGACAATGAAAACTGTTTAGATTGTTGAACATAGCCATGCATGACCTCTACAAGCTCTCTGTCACCAGGAACAGACAAGCAAAAATAGACACAGAAGAGCAACTGTACCTTGTCCTGACCCCCGACATCCCACACGGTGAAGCTGATGTTCTTGTACTCCACGGTTTCAACATTAAACCCTGTAGATAAAAACTGACTCAATTACTATATTTTATAGATAAAAAAAATTACTGCAATTATTTTATTTTATATACAGCCACAAGATTCCCTAAGTACATTAAGAAACAGGTCATATAGGTCTAATTAGTTAGCTAGCTATAGAAAATACTGTTTTATCAAAACCCAATTTACAATATCCAAACTCCCCCGGTCATTAATATCAGTACACAAGTGCCCAAAATGCAATTTACTTACAGGAGTAACTCCACTAGCTTTTTGACTATAGTAAATAAGTAAATCCATGTTGTATAAACAGCCTTTTATTAAAAATTAATCTTTAGTAATAACTATTTATCAAACTATCCTCTCAAGACACCCCAATCCAACCGCACAATTCAAAACCGAAAGGATTTGTTAATTCATTCTATATTTGTTAAGCAAAAACAAATAAATGTCTCTTCCATCCCTAAACATAATACCCTTTTGAAAAAATATCCTGTTTTTGTGACCTCTCAGATTTTCAATTATATTAACCATTTCTATACCAAAATCTCCTTAATTATTTGGCATTTCTAACACTAAACAATACAATGAAGAAAATAAATTTCATTTATCCTTTTTCACATCTCTGTAAATCAATCGTAATGGTGTGATCATTGATCTATATAATCATAACACAAGATACAATTATTATTATTAAAAACAAAACAACAACGAATACGCGTAAACAGAAAAAGGAAATCAAACTAACCAATGGTTGGGATGGTGGTGACGATTTCTCCAAGCTTGAGTTTATACAAAATAGTTGTCTTACCAGCCGCATCGAGACCAACCATCAAAATCCTCATTTCCTTCTTCGCGAATAACCTACTGAACAGCTTCGTGAACGTTAACCCCATCTTCACCAACACACAAATCGCTGATCCACAAAAACAAATCCAAGATCCACAATCCACAAACAAATTCGATCAGATCCAAAAACAATTCAATCATTCAATAACAAAAAATTGAAAATCAACAATTGAAATATCAATTTCTTTCCGATCGGTGTTGTTTCGATGAACTGAAACCGAAATTGAATCGAAATTGAAATTGAAATTGAAATGAAATTGAAACTGAAATTGAGATTGAAATTGAAATTACCTCTTCTTTTCGATCTAGAGATTTTTTGGAGAAGAGCGAATCGCGATTTGTTCTTGAGAGGAAAGAGAGAGAAAGAACGTTGCTTATGTTTGCAACGGTGTTTAATAGTGAAAGAGAATGTTTGTGATACGGCGTCGTATTTGAAGTTTTGGTGAAACGTCGTCGTTTTAGGTTGATTTTTTTTTTGTGGGTAAAGATTTTAATCTTTTTTATGTGAGTTTCGATTGATGAATAGTCGATTTAAAAATGCATGGTTATTCTTGTCAACCGGAGTTTTTTACACTATTTTTGATTTTGCTAAATTTACTCTCTTGCTATTTTTTTTTTAATTAATTAAGGGAAGAGAAATGGGTCTTTTAAAAATGTAAAATGCATATGGTAAATTGATGATTGAATATACTTTAAAAATTTCAGTATTATGTCTTTATAATCACAACTGAGAGTCTGAGACACTTTACCAATCAATTTTAATTTAGTAAAACAATCAACATTAATGCATCAAAATTAAATTTATATACACGTCATCTTAATTTTGTCAATTAAACGCGGACCAATTCATTGTCTTAACTTTAAAATGTTGATTAATTCATTGTCTTAATGATGAAGATGTAAAGAATCTTGAAATTTTACTTAAAAGTGAGTTGTTAATTGTTGTAGAAGCTAAAGAAAAGTTATATATATATATATATATATATATATATATATATATATATATATATATATATATATATATATATATATATATATATATTTCTAGATATTTAGTGACTTCTACAATATTATTTTCTTGAAAACATTGTTCACTTATATGATTCTCACTCTTTTTATAGTTCGAACATAACTTTTTGAGTACAAATGACTTATAATTCATTGTCTTCATATTAAATGTATAGAATGATAGCTCAAAAGTAATTAATAGATGGATATCTATATTCTTTAGTGTCTTTCCACTTGTTTTGTTTATAAGTATGAGATTGGATGATTTGTCCAATACTTTCACACTTGAATTCTTTCCAATAGCTTTGACATTGAAAGAATATGTTTGAAAGTTGATTGTTAGAATTAATTTAGATTTAATTAGATATTAGTTTATATTTAAGAATATCTTTTAGATTGTTTATATCTTTGTTAGAAGATATATATCTTAGATCTTCTTATATCTTTGTAGAAGATATATTTTAGATTTAATCTGTGTATAAATAGCCTAGTGGAGTAGGTTATTGTAATTCATTGTAAGTCCTTATTTTTGAAGCTATCAATAAATATTCCTTTTGCCTTTTATCTTCCTTGTGCTCCAACAATTGGTATCTAGAGCTCCTGGTTAGAAACTCTGGAATTTGGGAAACATTGATTTTTTATTGAGTTTCTGCGTAAATTGCACAAGGTAGAAGATGAACGGAAACAGCGATATTCATTCCAAGCTTCCAGTATTTGATGACAAAAACTGGAATCGTTGGAAGATCCAGATGCGCGTGTTATTTGGTTCTCAAGATGTGTTAGATCTTGTCACTGATAGTTATAATCTGTTAGAAGCAGACGCAATAGAGACCCAGAAGATAGCACAAAAGGCGCTGAGGAAGAAAGATCAGAAAGCGTTGTTCTACATCCATCAATGTGTGGATGTGAATGTGTTTGAGAAGATTGTTGATTCTGAAACAGCAAAGACTGCGTGAGACACACTAGTCAGATGTTACGGTGGTGACGCATCAGTGAAGAAGGTGAAGCTTCAGTCTCTGAGAAAGCAATATGAGAATCTCAACATGAAGGACAACGAGAAGGTTTCTGAATACATCTCTAGAGTGATTCTGATTACTAATGAGATAAAAGCTTGTGGAAAAACTTTGTCTGAACAAGTAATTATTGAGAAGATCTTGAGATCTTTAACTTCTCAGTTTGATTACATTGTTGTAGCAATTGAACATTCCAAATATATGAGCACGTGAGAGTTGAAGAGCTGCAATAGTAGTCTAAAGGCGCATGAGTTGCGTATGACTGCAAGAACTTCTGAGAGGGAAGTAGAGCAGCAGGCTCTGAAAGTAACTTCTGGTAAGAAGCATCAAAAGAAGACTTGGTCAGAAGCCAGGAAGAGAACTAATGGTGGTCAAAAGTCAAAAGTCAAAAGCTTCAAACTCTGATAGGCAGAAGAATGTCCAGAAGGGAAAGGAGAAGTTTGACAAAAAGAATGTTCAGTGTTACTGTTGTAAAAAATTTGGTCACTATGCCAGAGATTGCTGGTCCAACAAAGAAAGGAAGTCAGAAGAAGCAAATATAGCAAGAGGAAACTCTGATGATGAACCTATGCTATTATTGGCTTCTGAACCTGATGATCTGAATTCATCAGAATGGTGGTATATGAACACAGGGTGTTCAAACCATCTTACTGGAAACAAGAAATGGTTGGTTGACTTTGACTTTGGGAAGAGTACAAAGATCAGATACGCTGATGATAAACACCTCAATGCAGAAGGTATGGGAAATGTCAGAATCATTCTAAACAATGGGAAAGCAGCTGTGATCCAGAATGTTTGGTATATACCTGGCATGAAAAGCAATCTGTTGAGTGTGGGACAACTGGTTGAGAAAGGTTTTTCAGTTACCATGAAGGACAATCTTCTGAAGTTGTATGACTGTAATCAGAAGCTGATTATGGAGTCAGAACAGGGAAGGAACAAAACATTCAAGGTGAATGTTAGAACTGCAGACTCTGAATGTCTTAGTGCAACAAGTTTTGTCAAGGAGAGTGAGTTGTGGCACAGAAGATTTGGTCATCTGAATTTCAGAAGTTTAGGGCATCTGAAATCAAAGAATCTGGTACATGGAATTCCTACAATCAAGAAGCCTGAAAAGTCATGCAATGTGTGCATGGAAGGGAAGCAACCAAGACTACCCTTTGCATCAGAAGGAGCTCCAAGAGAAAAACATGCATTGGGAGTGTTGGCTTTTAAATTCGACACCCTTGTTTCATTAATATCAGCCATTAAAGCTGAAGGATGTTTTCGACCAGCTAGGCCCGTCGAAATGCCCATCGAAAGATGGCAATGTACTTAGAAGATTTCTTCCAAGGGAGAAGTTAGTTACCTTCGACGTCGAAGGTGTTTCTCGTCGAAGATGCTTCTCGACGAAGGTGTTCGATGGTTCAGAATGGAACGGTTTGAAATTCAAGCATTTGGAGGGAAAACGGTTTCCAGCGGTTACCAAGTGCAACGTGCAAAGATCTGGAGCGTCGAACGTTGAGAACGTGCCAAGTGGAATCATCTCGAAGCCGTGTAACTGCCCGACGGTTACTTGGGATGTTTTAGTATAAATAGTAGTAGTTCACGCAGTTTCTCGCGTGTGTTCACAATTATATACAAAGTCACTCATATAGATTCGAGTACCCAGCGTGTGAGAAAGAATTGTTGAGAATGTATGTGTGAAACACCAACTTTATTAATCAAAGTCATTTACTTTTCCAGAAACTTTACTTGCTTTCTTCTTTACTTTTCTGTCGAAGCCCCTTTATTTAAAGCCTTCATTTATTTTACCAAGCCTATTTCTTCATGCAATTTACTTGAAGCTTCTTTATTTTATTGTCATTTAATCATTATCCAATTCAATCAAAACCTCAAAATCAACCTATGTCCTAGGATCAATCTGATCGATCCTGCGAGTAACCAAATAAGTAACCATTTGGAGGATCAGCGGTTGTTTACCAATAACCACGGTAAACAAATTGGCACACCCGGTGGGACCGTGTGTTGATTGTTGAAAATAATCTCATCTTTTCGAGGAGTGTTGCATGCTATTGAGAAGTGGTAGAATATACACTAACGATACTGTTATACCCCAAAATTTGCCCTCCCATATTCCTCAAGAAATTGCCAAGCCAAGCTACAAAATTCCCCAAGGGTTGTGCAGTGCAACAGTCTCCCATACAGTCAAAATTAGGGTTTTGAGTCTGATCAAGAAAAGGAAGTTTTCAAAGGCTCAATCAAGTCTCATATGCTTACAAACATGGTCAAGCATCCTCATATCAAGTTTCAAGGCATTCAGCTCAAGATTGCACAGTCAAAACCCTAAATTGCACTACAGTCAACTGTAGGGGGCAAAATGGTCATTTGACAGTCAAAAGTTCAAATTTTTGGTCAACATATCATTTTGAAGCCACAAACATCATTTGATCAATGCTTGATCATGATTCTCAAAGTTTGGCTCAGAAATCATCAAAGATGCAAAAGTTGCTATATTTGGACAGCTGAAAAAGTCAACTGAAATTGACCAGGGCATAACTTTCACATGGATTGTCAGAAAAATTCCATCCAAAGCTCATTTTGAAGAGAAAGACATTTCCTACAACTCATCTTCATACTTCAAGTCCAAGAAATGCTCTCACAAAAAGTTATCAATTTCAACATTACAGGTCATTTTCAAAAGTCAACAAAAAGGGACTTTAAGTCAAAGACCATAACTTGAGATTGGTAAATCAAAATGACATGGGACCAAAGGCATTGGTTAAAGGACTCAAAGACCTTTCCAAAATGTCCAAGAACATGTGAAAAGCTTAAAAATTGAGCAAGTTATGCCTTGTAGAAGTTGGGAAATTTTTGTGAAATGGCAAAAGTCAACTATCCTTGAAAATCCAATTTTGACAAAAGGGCCCCATTTTTCTCACTTTGTTCATCCTTGTCATGCCACACACGTGTCCCATGGTTAATTTCAAGACCAAATATTGATTTTTTTATTTTATTTAATTTTTGATGATTTAATTCATTTTAATTCTTTGAAAATTCAAATAAAATTTAAAAACCAATGGAATAGTGTCAAATGAACTTGGACAATTCCTATGTATCATGAACCAACTCAAGAAATCAGGCTAGGGTTCATTTGCATACTAGGTCTAGGTTTTGGCTAAAAAGAAGGAAAATGGTTAATGGAAGAAACCCTAAGACCAATTCTTTCCCAAGCTTGAATTTAGGTCAAAAAACAAACCAATTCCCTTCCATGAGATGCATTGAGTCAAACCCTAACCATAGTGCAGCAAAAGGCTCGCTCAAAAGTGGATTGGAATTTTGAAAATTTGGACATAAAATGCAAATCTGATTTCAAAGCTAGGGATCTTTTGAAGCCCTAATTTTTGTTCCATAAGCATCCTGGACAATCACTGAACACGTTCCAATTGAAAACATCTTCCAAAACTCCCTAAACTGGTACCCCTAACTCAAACTGTACAGCATTTTTTTTGAAATCGTATTCTTAATTCTAAGCATCTTCACTGCATTCCAATTGGATATTCTTGTTCCATGTGATGTTTCCAAGCTATTCATCATGTTTAATTTCATTTTTGTTGATCATACACGAAGTTACCATTTTCGAATGTTAGGGTTTCCAGCTTTTTAATTTAGGGCTTTCAAAAATAGGCAAAATCAAAGCTCAAGACCATCGCCATTAAAACCAGCATGTTCCAATGAGCAGGAAACAACCATCGCGAACAATTTATGTAGCCTATATGGCTATTCGCTATTTTCCCATAGCAGGCTTAAGGCAACGCTTCAAAACCGTTGCTATTGTGTTTTATGTTTCAGGGCACGCGAGGAAGAAGAAGACGTGTCCACCAGCGGTTCGTCCATTCAAAATTCGCGCGTCTCAGCCACTAGCGCGTTGTATTTGTTTTATATAATTTATTTATATATTATATATCAAAGTGCTTAAGTAGCTCAGTTGGCAAGCTATTAGCGTGTTAACCTCAATGACCTGGGTTCAAGTCCCAGGTCTGGCCAATTTCTCATATTATTTTTCATTTCAAGGTTCCATGCAGCGCTGACGTTAGTACATACCATGCACACTCCTCATCTATTGCACACGTGTCCTAGGAGGCTTATCAAAGGGTTCAAAACAAAAGCATATGGTGGAGGCCAGTCAAAGCATCATACAAGATTGGAAAAGTCAACCAATCCAAGCAAAAATGGGCCAGGCTTTTCCAATCAACACCCTCCAAATTGGGGTTCCCCCACCCTGGTTTGCCAACTTTGATTATTTTTTTTTTTTATCTT